TCGCATTATAACTAACCTTTAAGAAACTACCATTTGTTGAGTTTTGGTGTAGTATTAAAGAAAAACATCCACAATTATCTGAAAAGGTAATTACACTACTCCTCTTCCTTTTCTAACTACATATCTGTGTGAGGTTAGATTTTCTTCATATACCTCAACCAAAACAAATGATGACAACAGGATGAATGCATAACCAGATATGAGAACATAGTTATCTTCTTCTATTAAGCCAAACATTAAAAGGAGATTTAATAACTAGTAAAAATATGACATTTTTACATTCTGTAAAAAAAAAAGAAGTTAAAGCAATGCCACTTTTCCCACTATCTTCTATTAGAAAATGTACTTCTCATTTTTAAAAATGTTTTTATTAACCTCTAATTTGTTTACTTTTTAAAATAATTTTTTAAGTATCTCATCTTAATTTTGAATGCATTCAACAAAGGTAGATGTGGTCTACATTTGGTGTCCTTAGTAAGTTAGAAGTATACAGGGTTCCTGAAACCAAGAAGTTTGAGAACCACTGTATTTCACTTTCAGCTTTTAAATTTTTAGTTTTTAGTAAGATATCTATATTCATTATCATATGCTTAATATCTATCTCACCTACCAATTTATCAGCACAGAGCTAAAACCATGTCTGTTTTATTAATCGCTGTGTCTCTAGCACTACCACAATATCTGGATCATAGCAGTCACTTAATAAACTTTTAAAATAAATATGCTTTAATTTATTCATCCATTTCTCTTGGAAAGCAACATCTGAAAACCTTTGCTACTAATTCTTCATGAAATAGGGAAGTTTATTTGTAAACAATCTTCGTTATCACCTCAAAATCTGCTTCTCACACTCCCCATTAAGTTATCAGCCCTACTAGTTACTGTTAAAAGAAAAATCTTGGCCAGGCGCAGTGGCTCATGCCTGTAATCCGAACACTTTGGGAGGCCAAGGCAGGCAGATCACTTGTGGTCACGTGTTCCAGACCAGCCTAGCCAACATGGTAAAACCTTATCTCTACTAAAAATAAAAAAATTATCCAGGCCTGCCTGGTGGCATATGCTTGTAATTCCAGCTACTTGGGAGCCTGAGGCAGGAGAATCACTTGAACTCAGGAGGTGGAGGTTGCAGTGAGCCAAGATTGCACCACTGCACTCCAGCCTGGGTGACAAACAGACTCCATCTCAGAAAAAAAAAAGAAGAAGAAGAAAAAGAACGAAAAATGTTATTAGGCCCTGACCAGTCATATTATAAATCAAAGAACGATTCTGTCAGTTTAAGAATCATTAATCCCCTCAACTTGTAATCATTTTTGCACAAATGCTTTTAAATTTTATATTTTTCACCATTAAAATATCTATTTCTCATATAAGAAAACATATGCAAACTATTAGCATCCATTACAATAATTTATTTAACCTCATATAGTACATTCTCTTTTTTTCCCAATTTTGCACAGTTTTATACCCTGCTTTTTTTTTTAGTCAATGCACTATCAGAAACTTAAGACTCTTTAAAAAAACAATGCTGCTGTAGAAAACTTAACACATTTAACTTTTTTCATTTTGGGACTTATTAGGATAGAGCTTCCGAACGGGAATTTCTAAGCCAGTAATTATATACATTTTTATGACTCTTAATATATATTATCAAATTGCTTTCCTAAAGCGTTAACCTGATATAGTCCATTGAAATGCACTTTTTTTTATAAAAAACTAATTTTGCCATAATCTAGCCAGTTCTGGATTATAGGAATTACACAACTGTATTGTTCTTTTTTTTTTTTTTTTTGAGGCGGAGTCTCGCTCTGTCACCCAGGCTGGAGCGCAGTGGCGCGATCTCGGCTCACTGCAAGCTCCGCCTCCTGGGTTCACGCCATTCTCCTGCCTCAGCCTCCAGAGTAGCTGGGACTACAGGTGCCCACCACCACGCCCGGCTAATTTTTTGTATTTTTTAGTAGAGACGGGGTTTCACCGTGTTAGCCAGGATGCTCTCGATCTCCTGACCTCGTAATCCGCCCATCTCGGCCTCCCAAAGTGCTGGGATTATAAGCATGAGCCACCGCGCCCGGCTGTATTGTTCTTCAAACTGTCCATTTAAATTGGCACTTCACTACTGTTTTTATTTCTATTTTTTTAGAAAAATAAAACATATTTCCATTTTTATTAATTACATTTACTTCTTGTAATTTCAGTTCATACTATTATGATGAGTTAGCCTCTAAGTACTAAGAATTTTATGATTTTTTGATATTATCCTTTGTCATTTTTTTTGCAAGTATTTTTCCCATTCTGTTCATCACTTCCGCTGGTTACATTATGACTTGAGTTATTTTTTCATGTAATTTAATTACAATTTATCATGTTTTATACTCTTCTCAACAATGTCTCATAAACATTAAGACATATGGTGTTCCAAATTAGCTGTGGCTTGAAATGCCTCTCCAGATATGTTAATACCCTTACCTAACTAGTATTTACTTTGATGGATGGTGTTAGCAGAGGTTCTAAACCAATTTCTTTTTCCAAGCTGCTAGTCAGCATTCTAACATCAATTTTGGAATAACTGCTACCTGTTATTTGTAATGCCTTTTAAAATCATATTTGTATCCCCTACCCACTTTTAAATTCTGGAAAGTGACATAGTATCATTTACATTTTCAAAAGATGATCCTGGCTGAAAAATAGAATGCAAATGGATTAATGCGGAAGTTAAGAACAGAAAGTGGTAGTATAGAATTTAACCTTTCTCATAAGGATGTTCTTTCTCTACTTTCTCAAAGCACTCTAAAGACATTATAATTCCCAGAGAGTGCCTCTTTCAAGAGAAATCAACTGTGACTGTCAATTATTAATTTTACACTTAGACCTTAAAATTTATTCATTAAGAATTCAATTATTATATATTAATTACAAAAAATAATTTGATCGGGCTGGGCACAGTGGCTCATGCCTGTAATCCCAGCACTTTGGGAGGCCGAAGCCTGACTGCAGATCACCTGCAGTCAGGAGTTCGAAACCAGCCTGGCCAATGTTGCAAAAGCCTGTCTCCACCACAAATACAAAAAATTAACTCGGTACAGTGGCGTGCACCTGTAGTCCCAGCTACTTGGAAGGATGAGGCAGGAGAACTGACTGAACCTGGGGGCAGAAGTTGCAGTGAGCCAAGATTGCACCACTGCACTCCAGCGTAGGTGACAGAACCAGACTGTCTCAAAAATAATTAATTAAAATAAAATAATTTGATCACATCAGCCATCATTTGCCTCTCTTTCTACTCATCTTCTTTATCTTCCTCTTCTTAGTCCTTGGCACTCCTCCATTTTTTCCTCTTTCCTTTTGCCTTCTTTCTCACTTTCCATTAACTTATTTAACACATACTTCCCACTTCTACGAACATAAACTCTATACCCCTCTACAAATTCCTAAACCTAATTTAACTCTGGGGTGTCCCACTAGCACATGAGTTTTATCAACAAAACTTTTGCCAAATAGAGGAAGGTTTCAAAAAGAAAAGGCTGTTATATAGACTAACTTTTATTATAGCTGGTTTACAGGCCCAAGTCAAATGAAAGAAACTTATAAAAAATCCTTTTTTTTTTTTTGAAATGGAGTCTTGCTCTGTTGCCAACCTGGAGTGTGGTGGCACGATCTCAGCTCACTGCAACCTCCCCCTCCCGGATTCAAGCAATTCTCCTGCCTCAGCCTCCCAAGTAGCTGGGACTACAGCTGTGTGCCACCATGCCCAGCTAATTTTTTTTTTTTTTTTTGTATTTTAGTAGAGACAGGGTTTCACTATATTGGCCAGGCTGGTCTCGAACTCTTGACCTCAGGTAATCTGCCCGCCTTAGCCTCCCAAAGTGCTGGGATTACAGGTGTGAGCCACCAGGCCTGGACTTTTAAAAAATCATTTCAATTTAACTTCTATTTGCTCTTATTCATGAAATTATTTAAGATTATATATTAAACATGTATCAGGGAATAACTGTGAACAATGCTCCTCAAAACATCATAAATGAGACAGGTCTAGCCAAAACTTCACCAATGTATAAATATCATTGCTTTCTTTTTAGTAAAAGCTTGCCAAAAGTAATTTTCAATGAATTATAATAAAATGTACAGACAATGCTACATAAAAATTTGAAAGAACAGCTTTTTTGTTTAAAAACTTTGAATGAACTGCTCAAAGGCAAGTGGGCTGTGCATGATTTTCTTTATTAAATCATGGCTGCTATGAGCTATTTCTTTTGAACAACTATACTACATCTCTACTAATTCAGACCTAACAATCAGTATTTGACAGAACTAAGATGATCACTTTACCTATTCACATAGCTTGTACATCTGGCAAACTAGGGCCGGATATTGGTTCACAGCTAGTAAATTAACTGTGTAAATAAAATGAGTGACTATTTCCAGCAAAACCTCTTGAAAGTTCACAAGTTTCTTACAGAGTAGTATACTATTAAAGGAGTCTCAAGTTCCCAGGAAGTTTTTTTTTTTTTTAAGCTAATTTCAGAGCTGTCATTGAATTATTAAGAGTTAATATGCCTCAAACATCATATTAAATTCACTGTCAGATTCTAAAATATTTCAAATACCTTATCCTGTCAATGACAAATTATCCTTTCAGTAACCACAATTTTAACAAGTACAATAAAGAATTTTAAATTACGAAATGATTAAAACAGATCAGAGGGCTTTGCATTTTTCTTAAGAATGCTCATCTCTGGGTTTTCAAAGAAATATTTAAAAACAAAATATTTAACCTTCATAACTAAACATTTTACATGCCAAAGGGAAGGTAAAAAGCAGATGTTCAAACGACAACAAAAAAGTATTGAAGTTTTCAGTAACCTATATATAGTAAAATTCATCAAAAGTCAAATCCCTTATGAAATTGAGCACATAATAACAGTAAGTATAAAAAAAGCAAATTACTTCTATCACAAAGCAATCAATTCTCAAGCTTCTCCAACTTAAAACAAAACTACATTACTTACGTAATAGACGGATCCACTTGTTTATAAGCATGGGCGGCACAAGACCCACAGTACGTATATCCTGCATGGCTACAAAACAAAATATTTTTAAACTTAATTATCAGATTCAAAATCAAGATATTCTAGAAAGAAAAACCTTTGAAATAAATACAGTAACTATGGTAAACACAACAGAATTGAGAGCCTACGTTAAATAACAATGTAGTTAATGATGCGACTTCTAGAAGAAATTAGGAAACACATGATCTATACTGTGTTCTAATTCTAAACTCTAAAAATACTTTGTAATTTTTTTTTTGTCTGAAAGACAAATTTACAGGCGTTCAAGGTTTACTTGAAGTTACTATGTAACACGATTATTGAGGTCGGTTTTTGGTTTTTTTTTTTTTTGAGACAGAGTCTTACTTCGTCACCCAGGCTGCATGCAGTGGTGCAATCATGGCTCACTGCAGCCTCAACCTCCCAGGCTCAAGCAGTCCTCCTGCCTCAGCTTCCTGAGTAGCTGAGATCATAGGCACATGCCACTATATCTGGCTCATATGTTATTTTTAACAGATCTGAGTTCTATGTTGCCGAGGCTGGTCTTGAACTCCTGGGGTCAAGTGATCCTCCTGCCTTGGCCTCCCAAAGTACTGCCATTACAGACATAAGCCACCACACCTGACCTATAATTGAGTTTTTTAATACTCCTCTTCAGTAGCATTAGCAGACTATTACAGAAAAATGATAAACCAACAGGAAGTCAAGTCAGACCAAAACAAATACCCTACAACTATTATAACAACTCACTTCCTTCTGTGTCTTTAGAGATAAGATAAAGACATTATTCTTATTTTCTCTCCATACTATTCTTCCCTTTCATCCTCTGGTCTCCGAATTCAGTCAATTCTCTTATCACCTACAGAATGACTGTTTCCTGGTTTCAAAAGGTATATGAAAAAATAAAGATATATCCACACAATGGAATACTCTTCAGCAATAAAAAGAAGTGAACTACTGACACTCAAAATAATTATACTTTTTTTAAGGGGGTAAAAATAAATATGCTGAATGGAAGAAAGTCAAACAAAAATAGTTTATTCTGTATGATTCCATTTAAATAAAATTCTAGAAAATAGCAAGGCATGGTGGCGCATGCCTGTAGTCCCAGCTACTCAAGACGCTGAGGCAGGAAGATTGCTTAAGCCAAGTTCCATATTATAGCAAGCTATGATCGCACCCACACTCCAGCCTGGATGACAGAGTGAGATACCATCTCTTTTAAAAATATATATATATATATATATGTATATATATATATATTCTAGAAAGGGGAAGGGGGGAAAAAGAGGTACAGAAAGGAAGAATTATAAGGGAACACAAGAAAACTTTTGAGGGTGATGAATATGTTCATTTTCTTGATTGTGATAGTTTTACCCTCATACATAGGTCAAACATCAAATTGCGTGCTTTAAATGTACACACTTGAATGCCAGTCATATCACAAGGTTCTTTTTTAAAAATGGTCCTAATCTGAACTAGCTTAAGATACGAATGGAGAAAATGAGACTCACAGCAGTCTACCACAGCAATACAAGATAGTAGCGGTGTTTAATTGGGAACTCAATAATATGGAACATACACTAAGCTCACTGAAATCAGTGAAGGCCTTAATTAATGGTAGTCACTCCAGCCCTACACCTCTGGTAAAGGAGCCTATAAAGTTGCCTCAAAACAGCAATATTCTCACAACCCAGTTCTGATCTTAGCCAGAAGGAAATTTAGTAGTCCTCTGGCTCAGCACACTCAGTTTTGATGTCACCCTGTGCTAATTTTGATACTAGAGCCAACCCGGAGACCTATTTTATTCTGTTACAATTCTAATCTCTGAGTGCCTGAGACCTTACTACTCACTGCTTCAGATTCCTAACACCTAGTTCTTGATCTTAACTGGTTCTCTTACGAATTTAGAAGTATGCCATCTTGCCTGTTCATGTGGACCTTAAAACCACCTGGTCCATCTGGATCTACCCGGCTCTATCTCAAACCTTAGCGACATCTCAGATTTTCAACACTGCCTTGAAATTTTGCTCTCAGTTGTCACTCATATACCATCCCTTCACTTCCTAATCCTTACAGCTTAAACTGCTCCTTCCACCTTAGATCTGCTTTTCAGACTAGTTCCTCTTTGTCATTCTTAAATTTAAAGGCTCTAATCCCTAATCCATACTCTGATCTCTAAATCAACCTGTCTTTCTAGTCTGAGTCTCTCCCATTTCTACCAATCCTGTTCCTGACCTAGCTCAGTTCTTAACATCCAGAAAGCCTTCTTAGAAACACTGGATTCTTCCCATCACTGCATTCCACCCTGGGTGACTGAGCAAGACTTTATTTCAAAATTTAAAAAAAGACAAGAAAAGAAAGAATCATTGGATTCTTTACATATGGCTAGGACAGAAATAATAAGAGTACAAAGGACAGTAAGGAAGGGCATAAAGACCAAAGGAAGAACATGAGCAAACGTCCAACTACGTAAGGTAGATGAGAAAATACAAGACTGGCCAGAGTAGAGGAAGAGAGTAATGATAAGCCAGAGTCAGGTAAGGAAATAAGGGCTTGATAAAACAAGATACTGAAAAATGCTGTGGGCTCTTGGGCAGGGGTGTGACAATATCAAACTGTTATTAGTCTAGTACTGAAAAGCAATGGCACAAACTAGCGATTAGAGGCAGCAGGGTGTTAACAGAAGCTCTCTTGAAAATTGTGGCAGTGCTATACCTAAGCATGAGGTACTAATGTCATGGTCTGGAACTGTATCAGTGCTGGTGGGCAAAGAGAAGGGAATGCTAGAGTCTAAAAAAGAAAAAGTAACAAATCTCAGTGATTGAGCATGGGAGATGATGAAGAGGATAATGATAATAAAAGTAATATTTACTGACTACCTACTATGTATCAGGCATCTTCTATGTATTTCAAAGTATTAAATCATTTAATCCCCACACCAACCATATGAGGTAGGAATTATTATTATTATTCTCATTTTACAGATGAAGAAACTAAAACAGAGAGGTTAAGAAACTTGCTCAAGTTTACACAGATAGCCAGTGACCAAGTAAGGACTTAAGCCAGGACTGCCTAGCTCTAAAATACATACTGTTACCCACTATGAGATCTTTACATGTTTGAAGGAACAAAGGAAGGAGTCTGTGGCATAGGAAAAGCAGTAAGACTGAAAACAAGAATTCTTACAGAGCCATATACCCTATAAAACTACAAGGAAGGATGAAACTTTTGAAAACATCATCAGCTAAGGTAAATACATGATTAATAATGGAACTCAGATTTCATGGTTTCAGTCCATTCAGAAGCTGAAGACTTCCAAGTCTGCTTGAAGTAAAGACAAAAGTTACAGGGAGAGAAGGAGAGTCTTAACTTGAAAAGGTCTTAACTTCGAGGCTATACTGCAGAGTATTGAAAAAAAAAATCTTTCAGTGTACTGTGCCTCTTTACCCCACCACAAAGAACTCTACTTCATCAAAGGAGGAAGAAGATAATAATCAAAGAAGATAATTTCTTGTACTTTCCTTTATCCTTGCCCAGAAACATGGTAATGAAGAAATTCAGAATAATAACCATCAAATCTCACTACAGATGCTCTTTTCCTACCCCTTCTCTTGCTAACAGAATCTACGATTCTACACGTATGTGGAAATGTTTTATCAAGAAACCATTCACAATAAAGGAGGCTTCACTAAAGAAATGGCTAAAGTTTTTTCTTTTGTGCATAACAGCCAGAACAATGAAAATTTAAGCTCTACAGATATTCTAATATGCACTATAAAAGTGTGTCCCACTTAGTTTTATTTTATTTTATTTTTATTTTATTTTTGAGATAGTCTCACTCTGTCACCCAGGCTGGAGTGCAGTGGCCCGATCTCAGCTCACTGCAACCTCCGCCTCCCGAGTTCAAGCTATTCTCCTGCCTCAGCCTCCCCAGTAGCTGGGACTAGAGGCATCCGCTACCACGCCTGGCTAATTTTTCTTGATGGGGTTTCACCATATTGGCCAGGCTGGTCTCGAACTCCTGACCTTGTGATCCTCTCACCTTGGCCTCCCAAAGTGCTGGGATTACAGGCGTGAGCCACCACATCTAGCCTGTCCCACTTAGTCTTTTAAAAGCTCTTAAAGTCCTTCATGCAAAAAGCCATCCCCAACCAGCTTTTCCAAGTCACTCGGATTCCCAACCTAACATATCATGAAGGCAAACACAAAATTACGCTTAATACCTACAACATTTTATTAGGCTAAAACCTTGCCTCTAAAAAGTGATCCTTCTTTTAATGCTTTTGCTTCTCCCTTTGCTCCTACACAGCAGACCCTTTACATCAGCAAGACCAGTTCCTGACACCAGAATTTCTGTTTTTCCCTGTGGAGCTGCAATCAAGTGAGGATGCAAAGGCCATTCATTGCTCATGAACATTTACTGGTTAAGTGAGTTTCCCACACAGCAACCTTGCAGTGTGGTTATAATTCAAATTCTTACCATAGAAAAATGAACAATTACTACAGGCTATGGATTTTCACTTGTTCATTCTGAGACCTTCAAGGTCACAGGTGAATAGTATAAATTGTCAATGCCAAGAGTCATCCTATGTAAGGCTTTTCATCAAACAGGATATGGGGAATAATAAAGGAATACTTAACTAGGATTCAACAAGGTCAGGTCCAATAGTCCTAGTTCTACTTAATAGTAGCAAAATGCAAAATAAAAAGATTGAACTAGATGAAATGAAAAGACTGAACCAGACGAAATGGGAAGATCTCCTCCAACAATAAGAAAAGTCACAAGATCTACTTAAGCTAACGTAAGATCTAAAAAGCCAGAAACTAAATTAGAAAACTCCTCTGAACAGATAGGATCAACTTGATTGACAACTGGCCCTATATAATTCGCAAATGCAGCAGCTTCCACATTGCCTCTCTCAATTTTATTTTGCTGTACCTAGTCTTTTATTCTTTTATTTTGTAGGCATTCCTCAAAGGCCTTCAAGATTCCTGTTTTGATAAAAAATATCTAAGTAGATAATTAT